TCATCTTTCTAACATGCGACACACCATAAACAGATATATATATATATATATATATATATATATATATATATATATATATATATATATATATATATATATATATATATATATATATATAGGGTGATGTTCAATAGATAACCAATATTAACAAGGAACCAATCGTGAGTGTCAGAAATCATAATGATCAACGGCCAAGGTAATGGATGTACACTTGTATATTGGACACGTATACACTGAATCATACTATAAAACTCACCTCTTTACGCAAAAACCCAACTCCTCACCAAAAAACCCACCTCTTTTTTTCTTTTAATTTTTTTAAGCACCGTTTTTTATCGAAAAAAAAAACGAATACACTGTTGTTCATGATTTTTTGTCATTTTTCAATAGAAATTCATGTTGATATATAAAAAAACAAACTTTTTTTTCGAAAAAAACTCACTTTGTTATGTTGTTTTTTTAATATTTAAGTTTATTTTTATCCAAAAAAACTAATTATACCAAAATTTTCTATTTTTTCCTCTATTAATAAACATCAACATCGATTAAAAAAACCTCGATCAGTTCAAATTCAGATTGTGAATCTGAACTGTAAATATTTCAATTTTAACATTCACAGTGTCAGTCTGACTTACTTTTTCAACTCTCTGATCATTAACAAATTAAATGAAATTTACTTATGAATCGAAATATATTTGCATGTAGTTTTATAATATTTTGAACATTTGGATTACTCGTAAATTAGTTTTGTAAAATCAACAAATAAATTTATTCACATTATGAATCTGGACTGTATATAATTTACTTTTCACAATTCACAATGTGAATCTGACTTACTATTATTGACATTATGAATCTGAGTAGATTCATAATGTGAATCTAAAAAAATTCACAATGTGAATCTAAACAAAAACTTTGATTCTTTTAAACATCTATATGAATCTATTTTTAAAGAGTGCCAAAAATATGATTTTTTATATATTTATTATTATTTTTTTTTTGTTAAAAAAACAACTTAACTTTTCAGAAGACAAAGAAAATATAGTGGGTTTTTTTTTTGAAAAAAAAATTGTTTTTTTATGAATCAATATGGAGCTCTGTGGTCATCGATTTCATCCAAGGTAGAGGTTTAGGTGTTCAGTCGAATTCAGCTAATCTTCATCTTTAACAACTGCTAACGATCATTCAAATTGTGATTTTGACTCTACATCATGATTTCATCAATTGATCAAAGTTTAATTTTTCTTCCGTGAGCTTTCATCGCTTTCATTGTTACTTTCATATAACATGTTTAATTGTTAACCTAGTAACGTGAATCGATTGAATCATCAAGCTATTAACGATTTCTAAAATTCATATTTGTATGATTCGTGATTTCTGCAATCAAACATCGTATTGATTGATTGAAATCAATTATTGTTCTTAAGAAAATTCTCTTAAATTATACATGCGTTCTACCTATTTGATGAAAGACCGAAATGAATAAAGAATTTGATGCATCACCCCCTCCTCCCCACAAATAAAGTCCTCTTTAAGAATGAGTATACTTCCAAAATATGAGTTCGAATTGGAGTAAAACAATTCAATATTGACTAATCTTATTAAATTTACCTTAATTCTGTTAAAATGTGTCAATTTCTTTAAACACAAGTTGTTGGAGATGTATTTTAGCACACTTTTATTTGAATATGCTCTTGTTAACTTGTAGGAAAGGGGTTGTACAAAAGAATAAATTATATGATCTTAAATAAATTATTGTTCTTCTAAATTTAGTATATGTTAACAATAGGTTATTTTATGATTAATTTCATGAGAATGTATATTGTTCTTATTAGATATGTTGGATGCCATCAGGGATATGTTATTACATGAAGTGATTCTCTGCTAGTGTATATTATTCTGATTAGACTAATCGAATACTATCATTGAAATGCTAGCAATATAATTTTGTAAATCCTAATCCATGTGAAGTTTGAATCACTTGTAAAAACATAATATTTATTTTAATGCATATTGATTCTAAAAATTCATTCATTTTTGTTATAGAGAAATTTAGTTAATCAAGCCCAGATCGAAAGGAACTTGAATGTTTCAAATTAGAAGTTTTTACAACATATGGTGAGATTAAAGAACATCCAATATCATACTGAAATTTTCAGGTTACTCATAGTCCTCCTTATCAGCTGCTTGTTAAGTAAAAGATGCATTGACTAGTTTTGCATGAAGTAGAACAGGTTCAGGATAGTCATAATCCTCCTTGTCACGTAATTTTGTACTTTATTCATTAAAACCTTACTAAACCTATAATGTTGACATTATACCATGTGTTAAATATATTTGATGGTACCAATCACAACTAGATTATTATGCTACAAAATAGAATATTACACAACGAAATAGAATTTATGACTTTATTTCAATCATAATTGACATCATTACTATGTTTAATTTTATATATTTGTCTTTTATGTAGTTTTCTTTGTCTTTTATGTAGTTTTCTTTAGAAACCAACTCTTTAATGCAATGAAATGGTTTTCTTTGTAAATATTTTATTTCAAACACAAAATAATGGAGATGGTTTTTCAGCATAAATTTGTTTAAATCTATATAACACTATTTATTTTCATAATTAGAACAATATTATGTTTAGTGTTTTATGTTAAGTATTGGTGATTTAACTATCACTACAAGAATATAGAACTTTAATCATGCAAACCATGACACGCGGTGATTTACGATATGCAAAATCGTGTGTCCCAAAAATAATGTCATCTCTTCTAAAATTTGAAGGATTTAGGATATGCATTTTTGTGTGCCATTAAAATTAGTGTAAAAAAAACACAGGCCACTCAATGTAAAAGGCGTGTTGTCTAAGCATGTAATTTTATAAAGTTTTCATCAAACGCACGTTCTCCATCTTTAATAGCTAAGGAGGGAAATCAAATCTCAAAAAATGAAAACCCCCGCCTTATTCTCATCTTCTACCAACCGAAAACCTTGGAAGAATCGACAAAAAGCTAGGGTTCCATCAAAATCACACTCCTTTTCTTACTCTTAGAGAGCAGACGATTTAGGGTATTACTACACGACTGCTTTCTACAACGTCCAACGAAGTCAGTCGTAGCTATAGACAACACGAAACCACAAAAAAAGCCATCAAAGGTTTAGGGATTTGAGTTTCTTTTCTGTTTTTGCACATTCGCTTCTCCTCCAGCCTCGTCTTTGAAGATTCTCACAATGGCTCGATCTCAATTCCTTCCTTGGACTCTCTATTTCCCCGTGAATACAAATTGATATGATAAATTATAAAATTGATGGAAGCATTTTAACCTAGGTGAAGTTAATTATGAACCACCATTGGTTTGTGGACATTATTTCTTTCTTACAGTGGTTAAAGAGGAAGGCGCAGAAGATGCATGCCAGATTTACAACCACCCACTCCAGCGGCAACTCCCACTCCACCTGCAGTCTACCATAATTAAAGCTTTTGTATGTATTTGTTTGCGCATTGTTGTGTATCAGTATGTGTATTCTTGTAGATTTATGTGTATTTCTGTGTAAATGTATATCGGTAATGAAATTATGCTCAAGATTTGCCAATCTCATCGATTTTGTATGAGCTTATCTTTGATAGTCAACCATCGTCACCTGTTTTGGTCTATAGGGTATAGATAACGATTGTTGGTATTGATTAAAGATTAAAGATGGAATTACATCACAAACCATTCATTGTATCTGGTTAGTGTTTTTTTTTCAGTTATTGTGTCTATTCACCGATTACACCTTCTTTGTTCTATTGCTTCTTTTGTAGGTAGGTTTCTCTTGAAAATTAGTGAAAACGCCAAGGATTTTAAGATTCTTATGATTTTAATGTCATATTTAAAAGGTTCAAGTTACAGTTAAGGGGAGAATTTCAATTGATGAGGGTACCATTGCACCAATTTGCTAAACTTTATGCATCCTAAGTTAGTAACTAGGCTTACCAATATATTTATTTGCTAGGAATCACCTTAATCTTGAAAATTTAGGAGTTTTGTAGTTGTGATTGCCTTAGATGCATATAATTTCAATACAACTTGTAACTTTAAATCATATTTTCATCTAATAAACTATCATCTTGTTCATAACCAATTGATCATTATGAAAACGAGAAACATAACTAAAATTCCCTTGTTTTAATTGATGCAGATGTCTTAACTGATGTACCATTAGTATTAGGAATGAAATGTTAGAAATGGAAATTGAGAGACCAAAACTGTTAGAAAGCTAAAACCAGACTGACTAAAAATGTCAATTTGCATGTTGTATAATGTATGTGTGTGTGTCTATATATATATATATATATATATATATATATATATATATATATACACACACACACACACACACACACACACACACACACACACACACACACACACACACACACACACACACACACACACACACACACACACACACACACACACACACACACACACACCAGGTATGAATATGATTAGATTTTCTAATACCATGATTATAATAAATTGATCTACAAAATGTTACTCATTAGTAAAAATATAAATGCAGGCCATGCCTACAGAAGAGAGGAGTACAATCTTACTAGTTATAGCTGATGTACCGGAACAAATAATAAAATGATTTTACATGAAAATGAAGTTGATGTGGCAACTGCACAAGATGGTGGATATGAATCATCAGTAGTGTCTCGGTTGGCTCTTAAGCCTGGGAAGGCAAGTCATATTTTTTTTTTTTGGTCTTTATTGATTTTTGAATTCTTTTTTCATTTTTTTTTTTTCATTTTTTTTTTTGTATATTTTAAGTCTCTAGTCTTGCAAAAGCAATTCATGTGATTGCAAAAATGGAAGAGCCAATTGGTCTAGTGTTAAAGAGAACAGAGATAAGAAATGAAATGTATAAATTTTTCTTTTTGTTTTTTTGTTTTCTTTAATAATAATTGTTACATCTAACTTTCAGATGGATCAATCTTAGAGAAAATGCCATCTCCTTTGGGTGTCCTACTTGTTATCTTTGCATCACTACATGAGGCATTAGTTCAGGTATACACATAGGAAGTTTTTTTCTTAAATATTTTGTTAGAGTAATTTACATTTTTGGTTCAACTTAGATGAATGTTGCAATTTTGTCCCCATAAGTTTTCTCTTTTATTTTTGAAACAGGTGGTTGGTGGCTTAGCTAGTGAGACAGCTCACATGATAAGTGCAGTTGTTAAAGGCATAACTCCATTGACTTATGAGTTTACTAATCTTGTATCCACTGCTTTTAATGTTCTTCCATCCTCTTTTCTTCTTTTTCAAAGAAAAACTAGAGAGATAATTAAAGTAAGTATTATTTTTTATTATTTTTTTATATTAATTGTCTAATAATATGGTTGTTATTGGTGTAGGCAAATTTAGGTCTGATAAAGCTATTAGTTGCAAAATCACAAGCTAAAGGGTTGCAAATGCATATGAATGGCAAGGTAGAGGCTCTGATGAGCTGGTAGAGTACGAACAAGAGTCATTTTCAGGTAAAGGTTAGTGAAAGATGTGGATTTATATCTTGTGATAAGTTGTTATTGAAATATAATAAATGAATGGATGATGATGATATGTTGTTACAGGTGAAGATGCCACTTGAAATGCTTGTCAAGAAATGTGGTATAGATGTTATTAAGGAACTTATGTTTGAAGAACATATAAAGCTGCTTACTAATATTAGAAAGGTTTGCTGAAGATTTAATGGTTTTTTTCTCTAAGAAATTAATTTGGAATTAAAATTAAACAAGTTGGTATGGAATGGAATGCATACAAAGGAATGGAATGAGAGAAAATATGCTGATAACACTGAAACCAAATCTCATATGTCAAAAGCAACCACCTCCAGGTTCTTTTCGCTTCTTCCCTTTTAATCAAAGAAACTTTTAGATATAACTAAGTATTATATATATATATATATATATTATATATATATATATATATATATATATATATATATATATATATATATATATATATATATATATATATAATTTACAAGATGAGCAGGTGGAATCATACAAAAATATTCTCTGATGAAGAAACTGTAACTCAATGAATCTTGATGATCTTATTGATATGAGGAGCCATCTATATATACAGTAGGAATAGGAGAGATTACAGGGATATACAAAGAGATATTCTATGAAATTGCTAATCACAATCAACTTACAATAAATACAAATATAGATATGTTCTACTAATAGTCCCCCGCAGTCGAAACTGTAGCTGGTCGGATGGAGAGACTGGATCGGAAGCGAGTGAAAAGTTGACGAGATAATCCCTTTGTGAAGATATTAGCATATTGGTAATCTGCCGGAACATGGAGAATTCGAAGAGAACCCATGCGAACTTTTTCTCAGACGAAGTGAATATCAATTTCAACATGTTTTGTACGTCGGTGTTGCACGGAGTTTTGTGTGAGATAAACGGCTGAGAGATTTTCACAATAAATAATTGTGGCTTGCAGTACCGAAAGGTGTAACTCGAGAAGCAAGTTTCGTAGCCAAGTTGTTTCAGCTATAGTGTTTGCGACCCCTTTGTATTCTGGCTCAGCACTAGAACGAGAGATTGTGGGTTGACGTTTAGATGACCAGGAGACCAGATTATCACCGAGGAAGACACAGTCGCCAGAAGTGGAGTGTCAGGAATCCGAGCAGCTTCCCCAATCTACATCAGAATACGTAGTAAGTTTGGCAGAATTAGGAGTGATGTGTAGACCGTGGTTGTTGGTTCCTTTGAGATATGGTAGAATGCGTTTGAGAAAATTGAAGTGTGGTTTACGTGGATTATGCATGAAGAGACACAGTTGTTGGACATCATATGCGATATCTGGTTGTGTGAAAGTGAGATATTGGAGAGCACCAACTAAGCTGCGGTAGAGAGGGGTCAGACATTGGTTGGCCAGCAGTGAGGCTAAACTTGGAGCCCATGTCGATAGGAGAGGTACTTGTTTGCAGTTTTTCATGTTCGCACGTGTTAAGATGTCGTTGATGTATTGAGCTTGAGAGAGAAAGAGTCCACCATTTTGATGTTGAACTTAGATGCCGAGGAAGTGATGAAATTGTCCAAGGTCAGTCATAGCGAATTCTCTAGACAATAGGCTAATGAAACGCCGAAGAAGGGATTCACTTGAGGCATTGAGGACGATGTCATCTACATACAGTAAAAGATATGCCATTTGGTGTCCATGCTTATAGACGAAAAGGGATTTGAGACTGGTGGTGCTTTTAAATCCACATGTTTGGATGAATGTTGCAAATCTTTGATACCAAGCTCATGGGGCCTGTTTAAGACCATATAATGTTTTCTGTAAGCGGCAAACCTATGTTAGGTTTTTGGTATCGACAAACCCGGGTGGCTGGAACATATAGATTGTTTCATTTAAGTCCCCATGTAGGAATGTATTCTTTACATCTAGCTAGTGAATAGGCCAAGATCGTGACACAGAAAGGATAAGAACTATTCGTACCGTGGTGGGTTTTACCACAGGACTAAAGGTCTCATCACATTCGATGCCTACTTGTTGGCTTTTCCAATTGATGACTAGGCGTGCTTTGTATCTTTCAAGAGTCCCATAGGCATGAAACTAGTGCTGAAATAACTACATACAGCGTATAACACGAGCATCGTTTGATCAAGGCACTAGATCCCATGTGTGATTGTCTATTAAAGCCTTGTATTCGTTGGTCATAGCTGAGTGCCAGTTAGGATCAGATATTGCCATTTTATAGGATTTTGGTAGGGGCGAAATGGTTGGGTCAGTGGAAATGGTGTGAAGGTTGAATGGGGTTTTAGGTTTTGTAATTCCGGCTTTGGAGCATGTGGTCATGGTGTGGGGTGGATGTAGGAGGAGGGGGTTTGATGGGGGGATGTGGTGGCCGTCTGGAATATGTGATGGGGAAGGATGTTGCGTTTGTTGTGGATGGAGATATGGGATTTACTGCGGTTGTTTCAGGCGAATGATTTTCGTGTGTTTGAGTGGTTGTTGGAGCTTCAGTGTCGGGGCTGGGGTTGGGGTCGTGTGAAGGTGAAGAGGTATGTGGAGGAGGGGATTGAGGAATTTGATATATAATGGGTGAGGGATTGGGTCTAGGAAGGAATAATTAGGTTTCAGGTTTGGAGTAGAGAAAGGGAATGATGTTTCATCAAATGTGACGTGACGAGAAAGGAGGATCTTGCCGGTGGATAAGTCAAGGCATCGATAACCCCGATAGTTGGTCGGGTATCCGAGGAACACACAGGTGGTGGATTTTAGGAAGAGTTTATGTTGACGGGTGACAGTGAGGTTGGGGTAGCATGCACAACCGAAGACCCGTAGGTGGTCATATCTAGGGTGTTTTTGGTAGAGTGCAGAAGTTGGAGTGTGGAAGTTGAGTAGTTTGGTGGGTAAGATGTTGTGAAGGTAGGTAGCTGTATGGAGGGCGTCAACCCAAAATGTAGGTGGGAGGGAAGCATGGGTAAGAAGAGTGAGCATGAGTTCGTTGATACGGTTAATCATGCGTTCATCTTTCCCATTTTTTTGGGAGGTGTGTGGGCAAGAGAAGCGGATATGAAGGCCGGTGGTTGAGGCGAATTGGTTGAAGTGGTGGTTGTCAAATTCGCCTCCTTTGTCACACTAGAAAGTTTTTATATGTTTGTGGAATTGTGTTTGGATAAATTTGTGAAAGTGTTTGAATTTGTCATAGGTTTCAGATTTAAATTTTAAAGGAAAGACCCATGTATAGTGTGTGTGGTCATCAATAATTACAAGATAATATTTATGGCCACTTTTGCTTGGTAAGGGAGAGGTCCATAAGTCAGCATGGATGAGATCAAATAGTTGAAGTATGGTTGATGTGGAGTCAGTGAATGGGAGTCTTTTGTGTTTGGCGAGTTGACATGAGTTACATACAAATGAATGATCAAGTTTATTGCAATAAATAATTTTATTAGAACTAAGGAAGTCCATTACATGATGGCCCGGATGTCCGAATCTGTTATGCCAAAACAAGGAATTAGAGGAAACAAAAAAAGATAAATTTGTTGGAGCGTTGATTGGGTAAAGATCCCCGGAGCTATTGTGCCTCGTAAGTAGTTTCCCACTCTTGTAGTCTTCACAGATAAACCATAAGGGTCAAATTTGACAGATACGAGATTATCTCGGGTGAATTTACGAACGGAAACGAGGTTTTTAATTACACCTTGTGTGCGTAAAATGTCTTTAAGGTGGATGGGTTTAGTGGGTTAGGGTAAGGTCCAATGACCTGATCCTAATACAGGAACTCGATTTCCAATCCCAAGAAAAACAGATTTAATAGATGACACCGAAGGGGTAGAAATTTTACCTGCATCGGCAGTAAGGTGAGTGGTGGCACCTGTATCCATGTACCACTGATTGTCATTTGGCTCCAAGGTCATGGTGTTAAAAGCCGCTGCAAGTTCTGTTAGTTCAAGAGGACTGATATCAGTGAGATGAGCCTGTTGTGCATTGCTAGTCTGGTTATTAGGTTGGTGATTTTGTGGGCTGTTACATGGAGAAGCCTATCCGGGCATAGTTGGATAAGGACAAGGAGGTGTAGTCCACCAGGGGCAGCAGCCCAATAAGGTATTTATGGGGGATTGGGCCATTGAGATCTGGGTGGATTAGGTTGAGATCTACGTCGATTACAAGAAGAGGCGTGTCGTTGATTTGAGGTTGGGTTGCCAAGTAGTTGAGTAGAAGGGCGTCGCTGTGGTTGTTGGCGATTTGGGGCAAAAGTATCACGCTGATTGGGATAATTGGGAGGGGGTTTGAAGGCTCGTGGGTGACAGCAGTAGCGACATTGGCAGGGGATAAAGAATCTTGAGCATGTTGACGTTGGTTCTCAAGTTGGAGCATAGAGCATGCAGTCTCCCATGGGGGCAAAGTTTGATTGACATACGCACCGATCGGGTTGTATTCAGTAGGAAGGCCTCGAACAAGCTGAAGTACGAGGCGTTTTTCATTCACCGGACAATCAACATCGTTGAGTTGATCAGCAAGTTGTTTCAATATTTGACAATAATCTTCAAGAGAGGGCATCGCATAAAGAGTCAAGTTGTTGAATTCGTGTTCAAGAGCAGCAGCCCTAGAACCTTTGTTATTGATAAAAATATTATGTATTCTGGTCCAAGCTTCATAAGTTGTTGAATCCGGTTCAAGAACACCGGTGAGGAGATCGTCTGAGAGTGTCCCGTAGATCCATTGAAGAACAATGGCGTCAATCTCAGACCAAGACTCATAGTCTTTATCTGTATTGGCTAGGGGTGTTGTTCCGTCAATGTGGGAGAGGACCTTGTATCCACGAGCATGAAGTTTGGAAAGCTTAACCCAAGTGGAGTAGGTTACCTTCTTTGCATCTGGGATTCTGACTTTGTTTTGAATGTTTGTAACAGTGTAAACGGGATGGATGATTTTGGTGGTGTTAGGATCGGTTTCGTCACCCATAGGGAAAGAGTAGTTACTTGTAGGGAGAGAAGGGTGGAGACTACACAGCCGTAGTTGTTGCAGAAGGTTCAGAAATGGTACTTAGCTCTTAGCTCTTATACCATGTAAATCTATGAATCGTGATGATCTTATTGATATGAAGAGCCCTCTATATATACAGCAGGAATAAGAGAGATTACAGGGATATACAAAGAAATATTCTAGGAAACTGCTAATCACAATCAATTTACAATAAATACAAATATATATATGTTCTACAAATAGAAACTAAGGATGGGATTCAGATGACATGCATACACATGCGGTTTCTGGTCGACACAGCTTGGTCAACTCCAAGAATCCTTCAATCTGGTGTCTACGTAAGTTGACTCCCAACACAATTTCCTAAAATGTACTTGATTATCAAAATCAAAATCGAGATATATTTAGGACT